GTGGAAAGGCGCCAGCCTATGGCAGGGCTTCCTCACATTGTGCCCTAGTGCCCACCCACCTTTTGCTGGGCCTGGTCAGCTTACCCTTCTTGCTCTTGGGGTAGGGAGCCAGCTCCTCCCGGCGATGGTGGCGGCGTTCTTTGCCCTCTTCCCGGTCTGCCTTGTCATACCCACGGTCCCGATCCCGTTCCCTGTCCCGCTCTCTCTCTCTGTCCACTTTGTCATAGCCACGGTCTCGGTCTCTGTCTGACTTGTCATGGCCCCGGTCTGACTTGTCGTGGCTCCGGTCTGGCTTCTCATGGCCCCGGTCCGACTTGTCATGGCCCCGGTCTGGCTTCTCATGATTCCGATCCAGCTTCTCCTCAGCTTCTGAAGACATGAAAGTCTTACAGTGACCTCCTATCCCAAGACCCACCAGCCTCTACCTTCAGCAACCTCCCCTGCCTGGGGCTGGACCTCCTGGGTCTCACCTGCCCCTCCTTGATCTACTGTAGCATTCTTGGCCCCTCTGAGAACTGTCAGTCACTGGAGCCACCCTTGGATCAGCCAACTCACCTGAGTTACTGCTCCTGAGCTTCTTGGCAGATTTGGTAACGATGGAGTTGGGGTCATGTGGGGAGAGCCAGGACACGAGGTCTGTGTCCACGTTCCAGTAGTAAGGGAGCCCACTGTGGGGCAGTGGGAGGGAAGGAGTGTCAGTACAGATGTCCTTTCCCTGTATCTACAGCTTTTTTTTTTTTTTGATTCATAATAAAGCACATGTAACGCACAAGAGAAGAAAGAGAGCGAGCGAGGAGGGAAAGAAAAAAGTACCCTCCACAGGGCTTGGTCATACCACAGTCTCCTTCCTCCAGTCCTCCATCCCACCAGAATCCTGGGCATGTGCCTAACATGATTTTAGGCCAACTGGACTGGGAACTCGAACTGTAGTTAGCATTTGGCCTCCAGCTCCACAGTCTGCCACACTGCCAGCTGTCAGAGGCTGGCCTGTATCTCCAACTCTTGTCTCCCCAATCTCTGCCTATACCTGCCCCATGTCAGAATCCCACTGGGAGAACCCCAGATCTCTTCTCATGTCTGCCATAAGAGGGATATCACAGGAAAGGTGAAGTCAAAAGTCATCCCCCACCTCCAGGTCCCCAGGCTCACCAGGAAGGGTCGAACACCTTGTACCAGCTTGGAGGCAGGCCCTCCAACCGGGTGGCCTCATAATCCACAGGGTCATCATCATAATCCTCAGCAATGATCTCTTCCTCTGGTTCTGGCAGAACAAGCGGTGGTGGGGGTGGGTGGGAGGAGGGCAACTAAATATCAGGGGAGTTCTCATCCTTCAGAGCCTGGAGAGAGACTCACTCAAGCATTCACACAAACCACACATCAGACACATGTGTGAACTCCAGAAATTATGGAGTACTCGAATTCCAAATCCAACTATCCATGTTAAAGGATTTACCCCCAAATTTACCTTAATCTGTTGTCTCTAGATTCAGATGATGATTTACACTGTTACCCAAACCTATCTTGTTTCAAAGTTGATAGTTATTCACCAAAAACTGTATCTTTATACAGTTTTCCCATATCTGTTCAGTTCCTGAGTTCAGACTGTATGTGATGCTGTATTATCCAAATTGATTTAGATAGGATGAGATTGAACAGCAAGGGGATTATCTGAGAATATGTCCAACCTATTCAGCTTCCAAGCTTGGTAATTTCAGGGTTTCTGAGTTTTGTATATTGAATAGCAAGAGTTTGGGGTTTATCCAGACATTACTCCGAATGCATTTTCCTGAGACCTGGCACAGCAAACCAGCTGTGTCAGTTAATAGTAGGAGAAAAAGGTGTGTATGATCAGCTCAGAGCCTGGCTCTCAGCAGGTCTTGAAGAGATTTTACAGCTGTCAGTGTAATTAACAACGAAATGCATATACCAACAACAGCATAGTGCCTGTGACACAGCAGGTCCCATGTAGATGTCTGCCATAATCAATATTGTTAACAAGATGCATACCATCAACACAGAGCCTGAAACTCAATAGGCTAGGTAAGAGAAATATCAATGATCCTGATCAGTATTATTAGCCACAGGTCTATGCCTGGGACACAGTAAACTTCTAACAGATGTTAGCTAGCATCTGACAAGGGGTGGGGGGGCAACTAAGTATCAGAGGAGTTCTCATCCTTTAGTCAGAGCCTGGAGAGAGACTCACTCAAACATTCACACAAATCACACAAGGAGAAAATAAAGTGCATTTTTCCAGTGTCTGGCATGCTAGCCCAAAATAGATGCCGGGTTTTGGAATTATTGACAATTAGGTGTAAGTGTAATTAGCAACCAGCAGCTCAGTAGGACAAAATGAGATCCTCACTATCATTTTATACTGTTACTCATGTGTGTGCCAGGCACCTAGGAGGCCCAAAATGTGTGTCAACTACTGATAATGGTGAACAATAAGGTACTTCACCTCTATGGAGCCTGTATTTCAATATCTCTGAAATACATGTTATAGTATGTAAACAACAAAGTATCAGCAACTGATCACTGAACTTGGGAGATTGCAATAAATGTCTGCTCCCCTTCCTATGAGATACTATGTAGTCATCCCCACCATTGATTCTTGGATTGAAGCTGGCATGCAACAGACCCAAAGTGGGCATCAGCTGTTAATATTGTCAAGGATGAAAACAGACCAGCAGATGGCATAAGGGCTACATCGCTAGACTCCCACGTAGTTGACCAAGGTTCAAGTCTTGGACCTGGCAGCTTAAAACTCACGCTGGGCGCATGTGTGTGTGTGTATGCTGAAAACCCCAAGAGGAGAATGGAGGAGAAAGGATAGCAGCGTGGCCATCCCCTCTGGGAGGTGATTTCTTGCTTTTTGTCTCTCTCTCTGTCTTGCACACTCGCCCTATAGCAAAACTCTCCTCCCCCAAAGAAAGGATGAAATAGATACCCCCTCTCAGAACACACACACATAGTGCTTGGCATGCAGTAAGAATGTATTGTGAACAAAGAAATGCCTGCCACCCCTGTGCTTGGTGCACAGCAGGCCGAAACTAGGTACTGACTGGGACCAGCAGTTAGCATAATGGCTATGTCGCTGGACTCCGATGTAGTCGACTGCGGTTCACGTCCAGGACCCAGTGGCTTAAAACTCACGCCGGGCGCGTGTGCGTGCATGCCCAAGATCCAGAGAGGAGAATGAAGGAGAAGGGATTGCAGCATGGCCATCCCCCCTGGGGGGGGGGGTGATTTCTCGCTTTCTGTCTCTCTGTCTCTCTGGCGAGTGCATGCGCCCTATAGCAAAATCCTCTCCAAAAAAATAAAAAAAAAAACTAGGTACTGATTGTCAGTATCAACAAAATGCCTGTCAAGCATGGCACGCGAAAGGCCCATCTACTGTTAGCCCTCTTACCTGGCTCCAGATGTTTCAGAATGCCTCTCTTGGCCAAGCGGGTCTGCAGTGCAACGGGCAGCGGCATAGCGGTTAGTAGACAGACCTAGGAACGCAAAGACAGATGAAAACCAGTTCAGAGAAGGATTTGAATTCAGATCTCTTAAGAAGAAACCTCTCCCAAGCACGCACACATCTGACCCCCTTCTACCCAACTGCACCAGTAGCTGGGAGGACAGAAGCTACGCACTAAGCAGTGGAGGGGAGAGGTGCTAATATCGCTAAAATTCTCACCAGACCTCCTCTCGAGACCTTGTGGTGCGGGGCTCTGTTCCGCTCCCGGGCCCAGACTCCGCCCACCACTGAAGGAGCCAAGAGCGGCTCCCCCGCGCCCCTCAATTGGGCTCACCCAATCTCCCCCAAAGACTGCCGGGTAGGAGGAACCAAAGCGTTGGGACGGGGGAGCAAAGTGCGGCACCTTGTCCAGCTCCAAAAAACTGCGCCCACCCTGGTGTTACCAATAAAGTTGTCCGAGTGCTGGAAGACCGTCAGACTGGTCGCCTCTCTTCTGTCGCTGCTACGGTCACCAGAGCCACACGACTCTTTAATCCCAAAGCACGGAACGAGGTACTCTCTCCCCAAGCTGGAAGTAACCGGGTGACGCTCTAGCAGGCGGGAACAGATGACGTAAGCCTGGGTGACCAATGAGAATGCCCTCTTAGCTTGACGTGCGGTTAAATGACCCAATCGTGGCCCTGGAATAGATGGAAAGCTCGGCGCCTGGGCGTGGCCCGCCTGGGGTTGGGCCTGACTGAGCGGCCAAACGCAGGCGCCATGGAGGAGTACGCTCGGGAACCTTGGTACGGCGATGGGCACAGGCATCGGGGCTGTTGCTGCGGCGCCAAGGCCAGCCGTGGGAGGCGGGCGGGGAAGGCACCGGCCATACAGTGCCATGTCCCAGACTCGGGACACTTAAAAACAACTCTTTACGCCCCCCCCCACACACACACACACCACTTGGTTTCTCCCAGCCCGGTCTTAGTTAAGAGAGGCCTCAACTGTGCCTGGAAGGTTCTGCGCAGGACTAACCGCGCCACGTTTCCCCTGGCCTCGTATATCCCAGTCCCTGTTGTTAACGGAAAGAGACACGCTGGTCGGATCTGTTCGGCCAGGGGGGGTGGTACCGTATTGAGCGGAAATCCCCAGGTTTACTACGCGTGGTTTTTCCCAGGTTGCTTTTGTGGATGGGGGCGGGGAAGGACGAGCTTATTGTGGGCACGGGGTGAGGTGCTGCATCCTCCCCACAGGCTGCTCTTGGTTTTTTCCAGTGTGCCAGGTTAATGCTAACTAGTGTACACTTCCATAGCGCTTACTGACATGTGCCAGACTCTTTGCTTGATCAGTTCATTTAATCTTCGACACTAGTAAACCAGTCGGTTAATTCCTTGGTTGACTGTGAAGGACAAGGGTGGACGGCAAAAACTACTGTTTTTTTTTCCCCTTTGCCCCATTTCTCGCTTCAGTGAGGGGGTAAAAAAAATCAACAGGACTAGTTCATTATCTTAAGTTGTCATTCAAATGACTTCGTTTCTCCTAGTTGGAAAGAGTCCATGTGACAGGGCCTGGGGAGGGTTTACAATTAACCCGATCCTTCCCTTCCCACTTGCAGCCCATGGCGAATTGTGGATGATTGTGGTGGAGCGTTCACAATGGGTGTCATCGGAGGCGGAGTCTTCCAAGCCATCAAGGGCTTCCGCAATGCTCCTGTTGTGAGTCTTGGTCTTCCTCAGGTGGTATGGGGGTCAGCTGCCTTGCCCACAAGGGACACTGCTCTAAAAACTGCTTGGAGATGCCAGTCATATGTATTCATTCGTTCTTGTGCCTGCTCACCTACCATGTGACCGACCTGAGGTCTTAGGGGCATTGCAACAGTGGCCACTGTCCCCCATTCTCCCACCCAGCTGGAACACCTTTGTGGAAATGTGCTGTTAAAACTGTCATGACCAGAACCAGCACATGGTGTAATAATTACATCGCTGGAATCCCACATAGTGGGCTGCAGTTCAAGTCCCGGACCCAATGGCTTATAACTCATGTTGGGCGTGTGTGTGCATGCCCAAGATCCCCAGAGGAGAATGGAGGAGAAGGGATTGTGGGATGGCCATCCCCCTTGAGGGGTGATTTCTCGCTTTCTCTCTCTCTTTCGAGCCCACACACACAAAATTATGACCAAATCCTTATCTTTTTTTTTTTTTTTTGTAGAGAGATTTTTGTTATAGGGCGTGTATGCTCACTGGAGAGACAGAGAGACAGAAAACAAGTCACCCCCAGAGGGATGGCCACACAAAAATCCCTTCTCCATTCTCCTTGAGATTTCCAACATGCACACCGCACAGCGCAAGTTTTAAGCAGCCGATCTGGACTCAAATCACAGTCAACTACACGGAAGTCCATTGACGTAACTATTACACCATCTGTTGGTCCCAAATCATGACCAAATCCTAAGTATGTGTGCAAAGCCAGACAGACTTTACCAAGCAACAGATTCTGGGTCAGAAACCTGGATAGAGGGAAATGACAGGAGTTTAGTTGGCAGTGGGGGGACATCCTTAAAGCTGAGAAAATATTTTTTTAAAGAATTATTTTTTAAAATATTATTTATCCATTTTTTTGTTAATTTGACCAGCAAGACACACACACACACACACACACACACACAGAGAGAGAGAGAGAGAGTGCGAAAGTAAGCCACCAGGTCTGAGACTCGAACCATGGTCAGCCATGTGGGAGTGTTCAGTGCCTTAAACACCATGCCACCTGCTGGTGCCCAGAAAATATTTTTAATTTACGTAAATAATTCTGTCTTTCTTTGACCACCCCTTTCCCCAGAAGATCTCAAATATCATGGCTTTGAATGCCATCTATCTGCCAAGGTCTCAGCAAGTTATATTTATCTAACCCCATATTTGCCTTCAACTCCTGGAACTTTTTTCCCTGGATCTGTTCCCAAGTTTCCCATCCTCAAGTTCTCAGCACAAATGCTTCTCTTTTTCTCTCTCTCTCTTTTTCCCATTGAGAGATTTTTGCTATAGGGCGAATGTGCTTGCTGGAGAGACAGAGACAGAGAGATAGAAAGCGAGAAATCACTCCCCAAGGGGATAGTCTTGAAGCAATCCCTTCTCCTCCATTTTCCTCTTGGGAATTTGGAAATGCACACACACATGCCTGACATGAGTTTCAAGCTGCCAGGTCTGGGACTTGAACTGAGGTTGACAATGTGGGAATCCAGTGATGTAACCATTACATCTGCTGGTCCCCAAAGGCTTATCCTTAAAGTGACCTTTGCTACCCCTGAACCATTATCATCTCTATCCTCTATAGAGCTGTCTTGTTTATCTGTATCTTTTCTCAGGGTCTGTCTCTCCTGTTGTATAAGGCAAGCTCTTAGAGGGCAGGGACCAGATCTGCCATGTGACCGCTGTGTCCCTTGCATATAGCATGGTGCCTGGCACATTGTAGATGCTCACTACTCATTTATTGAATTAATGAACTAATGAATGAATTAGAACTTCTCAACCCAGCTCTGGGAACATCCATGTTGAAGTGCCCCCTAGCCTCCTAGTTCTTAGCTGCTTCTCCACATTTCTACCCCAGCTATCCCTTACAGGCCTCCCATCCCCTTTCCCCTCTTCAAAGCTAGAAACCCTTTCCTCAGTGGCCTCAACCCTGCTCTGATCCCCTTCCTTACTTTCCCAGGGGATTCGGCACCGATTGAGAGGTAGTGTCAACGCTGTGAGGATCCGAGCCCCCCAGATTGGAGGTGAGGGGGTAGGGAGATATAAGTGATGTAATGGCAAAGTTGGGGATGGTTGATCTTTTGGGTCTAGACTACAAGTTGAGCATTCACTTTCTAGCCCCAACTCTGTCTGGGACTTCTGGGGAGGGGGGGTGACATTTCTCAACAAATTAATATGGGGCAGAGGGCAAGAATGTGGATTGTAGAGTTTACATCAAGGCCCTGGCTCTTCTTTGCTGTTTGACCTAGAGCTAGTGAACATCATCTGTAATATGGGAGTGATGATAACAGCAACCACCTGATTTTTTTCCATCCTTTTTTTTTTTTTTTGGAGAGGTTTTTGCTATAGGGCATGGACGCTCGCCAGAAAGACAGAGACAGAGAGACAGAAAGCGAGAAATCACCCCCTAGACACCACAGTCCCTTCTCCTCCATTCTCTTCTCAGGGTCTTGGGCTCGCACACACTCACGCCTGGTGTGAGATTAAACTACCGGGTCCAGGACTCGAACTGTGGTCAACTACATGAGAGTCCAGCAACATAGCTATTATGCCAACTGCTGGTCCTGATTTTTGTAATTTATGTAATTTACATAGTCCTTACTAAGTGCTGTTTGCTGAGCTAAGCACTTTAATATTAACTAATTTAATATTGCAGAAGTCAAATAATACACAGTACCTGGGACGGATCCTGGCATCCCAGTAAACATTTAAACTATCATATTATTAGCCAACTTTCTGAGCCTCTTTCCTTCTCCCTGAACCCAAGATCAGAATTCTAACCCCATGTGGTGATTACAAAAATCAAAGTTGTCTGAGGGATCAGCAGGTGGTGTGGTGGTTAAGGGTGCTGTAGACTCCCACATGGCCAACTGCGGTTTGAGTCCCAGATCTGGCAGCTTGCTTTCTCACTTTCCCTTTCTCTCACTCTGTCCCTCTCTGGTCAGATTTAAATAAAGTTAAAGAAAGTAATTTTTTAAAAAATCAAGATTGTCCTGTTCAAAGCCATAGAAAAGATAAATCTGCTTGTCATCATTTGTCAAGTTCCCATTAAGGGGAAGGGAACATTGATGGCAAATAAAGACAACTTGAAGTGGGAGCTACCACAGGATAGGGATAGATAGGGAATATTCCCTGGGAATTTTCTGTCTTCTTTTGTATCTGGCTTTTCCTCCCCATTTTATTTTTCTTTTTTGTTTTTGCCAGCGAGCACATGCACTTGCCAGACAGGGGGAAAGAGAAAGCATGCCCTGATAGAATGTGGTCATGCCACAACCCTTTTTCCTCTATTTCTCCATCCCATCAGGATTTGGGGCACTGCATACACACATGCCCAGCATGTTTTTCAAGGACCAGGATTCAGACCACAGTTGGCCATGTGGGATCCAATTCCATATGCACAGCACTTAACTGCTGCATTACCAGGCCAGCCATATGTTTTTTTTTAAGTTTATCTCTTTTTTCTTTTTTTTTTGGAGAGGTTTTTGCTATAGGGTGCACACACTCGCCAGAAAGACAAAGAGACAAAGAGAAAGTGAGAAATCACCCCCAGGGTGGATGGCCTCACCACAAGCCTTTCTCCTTCATCCTCCTCTCAGGATCTTGGGCACGCACGCACACGTGCCTAACGTGAGTTTAAGCCACTGGGTCCGGGACTCGAACCACGGTCAACTACATGGGAGTCCAGTGACATAGCCATTATGCTAACTTCTGGTCCCTTAAGTTTATTTCTTGAGAGATAGACAAGTACCATTGAAATGATCTTACCACATCGCAGTCACCCCCCTGTCCACCCTTCTAGCCAGCCAGGGTCATGGGTTTGCCCAAAATGTTTAGGTCAACCTGGGACCCGACTCCTGGGCCTCTCCTGTGGCTCCAGTGTCACGTGGCAATGCTCCACTGCCTGTACCACTACAGCTGGTCCTTTCTCCCCATTCTTGGAGCATTCAGGGTTTGAAAGCCTCCAGACCCTGAGATGTGGATTCTCAGCATTTCCCAGGAATATTAATTAGTTCACTGTGCCCCTGTAGGTAGCTTCGCCGTGTGGGGGGGGCTCTTCTCTACTATTGACTGTGGCCTGGAGCGGCTACGGGGCAAGGAGGACCCCTGGAACTCCATCACTAGTGGTGCACTGACCGGGGCTGTGCTGGCTGCCCGCAGTGAGTACTCCTGCCCCTGCCCTGGCCCCAGCCCCAGCCACTTGTAACTGGTTCTGCCTGCCCTCACTTCTATCCCTCTGCCCCCTGACTCTCCTAGGTGGCCCACTGGCCATGGTGGGCTCAGCGATGATGGGAGGCATCCTGTTGGCCCTCATCGAGGGTGTTGGCATTCTCCTCACTCGCTACACCTCCCAGCAGTTCCACAATGGTGAGTACCTGGCAGTCGGTGCTCAGGGAGAGGTGGGAAATGCTTCCTCTTGCCTCCTTTCTACATCCTTACCTGACTGTCTTCTCTCCAGCACCCCCATTCATGGAGGACCCCAGCCAGCTCCCCACCAAGGAGGGTGCCCCTGCTTCTGGCTATCCCAACTATCAGCAATACCACTGAGGAAGCAACTGCCTAACACCGCCACCGCCTGGGGAGCTGTTCCTCAGTTCCCTCCCCGGTGATCTACCTCGAAGGGAGGGCTGGCTCCCGGTTAGCCCTGGGACCCTCCAGAGAGGGCCTCTGCTTGGAGCTCTGGTCCCAGGGCGGGGGTGGGGCACCCAGCTGCTCTGACAGATGGGTCCCCTTTGTCTCTCTCAGGGCACCCCAGCCCCACACTCATATGTAACAGGCTCTCACCCCAGCTCCTTTGTGTGGCACCCTTTTGAGTATTTAAAGCGAGTTTCGAAATGCCTGTGTATGCACTTCTTGAGCCACTAGAGGGAGCCCCTCCTAGGACTGGGAAGCCCTAGGACTTGAACTTCCATAGCAGGTAGGCTCTAGTCAGTGTGTGTGGGATGAATGGACAGTAAGGAGGAATGAATGGAGTTGTGAATTAGGTTCACTAACATGCATAGAGGGGTGGCAAGTGATGAACCATATGCAGGCAGAGGAACAGGCTTAGGAGAAAAGTAGGTGAGCACAAGGATTACTGGGGTGGGTGGAAGTGGTTCTGCAGATTATACCCCTGACCCCTCCTCAAGCCCTCAGCACCAAGGCTGGGAAATTTGACCTCACAGGAGCCCCTACTTTCTGGACACCAGTCACTCCATTTTTAAAGGTAATCCCTTTGCATATGACCTCACCATGGACCTGGGATGGAGGTAGTGGTCAGGGGGACCTAGTTTCTTCAAAGAAGGTTCCCTGTGACAGTCTCCCCTTTTATCACAGAGGCATGTTTATGCTCACCCATGCTCAGTGTTGCCAGTTTTTATTTTATTTTGTTTATTTTTTAATTTGCCAGAGGGCACTTGTGTTGTCCAGGGCGGGAGAGAGAGGGAGGGATAATGAGATAGCACCTCCTGTGGGGGATAGTCATGCCGCAGTCCTTTCTCTAGCCCTCCCTCCTTTGGGGATGTTGGACATGGCAGCATCTAGTGTGTCTCTCAAGCTGCCCAGTACAGGACTTGACTAGTTAGTACAGTTGGCTATGTGGAACCCAACCTCCTTAGCCACCATGTCACTGTCTGGCCCAGTTTTTTGGTTTTTTGTTTTGTTTTGTGTGTGTGTTTGTGTTTGATTTTTGTTTGTTTTAGAGGTTTTTGCTATAGGGTGCATGTGCATGCCAGAAAGAAAGAGAGAAAAACAGAAAGTGAAAAATCACCCCCCAGGGGGGATGGCCACGCCGCAATCCCTTCTCCTCTATTCTCCTCTCGGGATCTTGGGCACGCACGCACATGCGCCCAGTGTGAGTTTAAGCCACCGGGTCTAGGACTCGAACCCCGGTCAACTACATGGGAGTCCAGCAACATAGCCGTTACGGTAAATGCTGGTCCCTGTGTGTGTTTGTTTTAAGGGCCACTACAAAATAACTAAAATTGAGTTTTCATTTTGGGTTGGGAGAGTTAAGGGGAAGAGGTGTTTCTTCTGGATGGACATCAGCCCCAAATGCTGTCACTTCTGTGCAAACTTCTGTATAGGTGGAGAAAACATTGACCCCTCAGGAAGCTTTGGCACCTCCCCATGGCTTTTGTACCCCAATGGAAACCTGTTTCTTCTGCTCCTACACAGATGGCTTCCTGGGAGACAGTTGCAGAGATGGAAATGCCCTTTCTCCCTTATAAAACAGTCAATGGGGATGCAAAGGCCAAGGCCCCAGACTTTCCAAGACCCCAGTGGGAACCTAACCATGCTCAGTGGTGAGTTGTAGCACCTGCTTGAGCGACTTGGGGCCAGGCAGCGTGGCCATCAGCCCAAGGACCACCAGGAGAGGAGAAGAGAGCACAGGCTCAGTGCACACAGCTCTCTGCCCCCCACCCCCACCCCTCCCCGCAGGCTCTACAGCAGCAACACCAGGCTGGCCTCTGTCGAGCTGGGGGCTCCATTCAGCATAGAGGGGTGGCAAGTGATGAACCATATGCAGGCAGAGGAACAGGCTTAGGAGAAAAGTAGGTGAGCACAAGGATTACTGGGGTGGGTGGAAGTGGTTCTGCAGATTATACCCCTGACCCCTCCTCAAGCCCTCAGCACCAAGGCTGGGAAATTTGACCTCACAGGAGCCCCTACTTTCTGGACACCAGTCACTCCATTTTTAAAGGTAATCCCTTTGCATATGACCTCACCATGGACCTGGGATGGAGGTAGTGGTCAGGGGGACCTAGTTTCTTCAAAGAAGGTTCCCTGTGACAGTCTCCCCTTTTATCACAGAGGCATGTTTATGCTCACCCATGCTCAGTGTTGCCAGTTTTTATTTTATTTTGTTTATTTTTTAATTTGCCAGAGGGCACTTGTGTTGTCCAGGGCGGGAGAGAGAGGGAGGGATAATGAGATAGCACCTCCTGTGGGGGATAGTCATGCCGCAGTCCTTTCTCTAGCCCTCCCTCCTTTGGGGATGTTGGACATGGCAGCATCTAGTGTGTCTCTCAAGCTGCCCAGTACAGGACTTGACTAGTTAGTACAGTTGGCTATGTGGAACCCAACCTCCTTAGCCACCATGTCACTGTCTGGCCCAGTTTTTTGGTTTTTTGTTTTGTTTTGTGTGTGTGTTTGTGTTTGATTTTTGTTTGTTTTAGAGGTTTTTGCTATAGGGTGCATGTGCATGCCAGAAAGAAAGAGAGAAAAACAGAAAGTGAGAAATCACCCCCCAGGGGGGATGGCCACGCCGCAATCCCTTCTCCTCTATTCTCCTCTCGGGATCTTGGGCACGCACGCACATGCGCCCAGTGTGAGTTTAAGCCACCGGGTCTAGGACTCGAACCCCGGTCAACTACATGGGAGTCCAGCAACATAGCCGTTACGGTAAATGCTGGTCCCTGTGTGTGTTTGTTTTAAGGGCCACTACAAAATAACTAAAATTGAGTTTTCATTTTGGGTTGGGAGAGTTAAGGGGAAGAGGTGTTTCTTCTGGATGGACATCAGCCCCAAATGCTGTCACTTCTGTGCAAACTTCTGTATAGGTGGAGAAAACATTGACCCCTCAGGAAGCTTTGGCACCTCCCCATGGCTTTTGTACCCCAATGGAAACCTGTTTCTTCTGCTCCTACACAGATGGCTTCCTGGGAGACAGTTGCAGAGATGGAAATGCCCTTTCTCCCTTATAAAACAGTCAATGGGGATGCAAAGGCCAAGGCCCCAGACTTTCCAAGACCCCAGTGGGAACCTAACCATGCTCAGTGGTGAGTTGTAGCACCTGCTTGAGCGACTTGGGGCCAGGCAGCGTGGCCATCAGCCCAAGGACCACCAGGAGAGGAGAAGAGAGCACAGGCTCAGTGCACACAGCTCTCTGCCCCCCACCCCCACCCCTCCCCGCAGGCTCTACAGCAGCAACACTAGGCTGGCCTCTGTGGAGCTGGGGCATCAATCAAATCCAGGGTGTCCCAGACTGCGACCCTTCTAGAGTCTCAGGGCCACTACTTCCTTCTCTCCTGTCCTGTACACTGAGGCTTTACCCACTCAAGACCCTCTTTCAGGCCCTATCCCCGGCTTTCAAGCCCAGCCCTGCTAGCACCTCTGGAACTCTCACTTCTGCACATTCGCAGGCTCTGCCCCCTCAGGCAGTGATGGGCTCCAGGCACTCCAGTTTCGGTGTTTCCTTGCCACTTCCCCACACACCCCATTCCCTGCCTATCTTCTAGTGCTCCTCAGCTGACAACCCCGCCTCCTTTATTGTGAATATCAGCTTGGTTCTTCTGAAGCTCTGTCCCTACTGCATCTCCCAGGTCCCCTCCAAGTAGGCTCTGCCCTTATAGGCTCCTCACTGTTGGCAGGTTCCCACCCCATGCAGCCTCTAGATCTGCCTTCAGGCCCCACCCTTCAGGGATCCCCAAACACCTGGGTACTCTGCCATCTTCTGCCCCAGTGACCTTGTTCACATCTCTGGGGTGGACTGTGCATACCCGGTCCAAGTGACTTGACTGAGAAGTTCGGAGCCTCCTGCTCAGGCTCCTCTGGTTGCTAGTGGGGTGTAATGGGGCTCAGGATGGAGTCACAGGAAGGGGTTACGGGGCTAATGACCAGTCTAGAAGCCAAGGCCCTGTCTTAGAAACTGATGCTCAGAGCCTCCAGGGAAGATGACGGCGGAGTTGGTTCTGGGAGCTCTGGTGTCAGCAACATCATCGTCTCTGAACTGTGGCTCCCTGGGACATCCATGTCTCCCAAGCTGGGGCCCAGGTGAGGAGCCATGAGGATGGGGCCTCAGGCCTGCTCTCTGACCTGTTTCTAGGGAAGAGAATGTGGGGTCAGGTCCTTGGTTTTTTTGACAGGGAAATACTACAGAGACCCAGGGAAGGTAAAGATGGAGAAAAGAAAGTGAGATACAAAGGGAGATGAAGAGCAATGAAGAGAGAAATAGAAGCTGGGAGGCATACACATAGATAGGGAAATAGAGACAGTGAAAGAGGTAGGCAGAGATGAAGGCAGTGAGACATGTAAGAGATTAGTTAAGAGATAGAGACAAGGAGTGGACTGAGACAGCAAGAGAAATAAGCCATGCAAAGGTCAGAAATGAGGTAGGGAGATGGGAGAAAGTGAGGAGAGGGTGCTTCTGGCACAGTGCTGGAGAGGTGTTAGCTGAGTCAGGAGCTAGGCCCACAGGGAGCTGGCAAGCCACCTGGTCGCTCACCCTTGAGCTGGAATTAGGGGACTCTTCACTGTTGCGAAGCTGCTGACATCTGCCCGTGCTCTCCTCCACAGACAGGTTATTTATTACCCTGAAGGTTAGCCATCTCTTGGTGTGTGTCAGGAGATATTTCTAGGCTCATTACTCTGCGCTGTGTCTAAATCTCTCCAGAGGGATCCACGATCTCTAATGTCTTTCTTTTTTTTTTT